ACATGGGAGTGAGAATGTGTAGTTGTATCAGGTCAACAAAACATGGGTATAGTAACAATATTTTTTATATTACATTTATCCATTTTAAATGTACTAACCTCACTCATTTGTAACAACTAAGGCAAAAATGTAATTAATTCAGAAAATCTTTTCAGGACCCCACCTTGATGTTTCGGGACCCCACTTTGGGTCCTGACCCCAACTTTGGGAAACACTGATTTAAAGTATTCTGTCTCAGAATTACTCAGCATGTAACCAGGTTTCTGTAAGACAAACTAAAACAATTTAATCAGTTATCAAATCTTAGATTAACCAACTTTTAATTTTTGTTCTGTATTCCTGATTTTTGCTTGTTTAACTTGAGCCGAGCACAGGTAGACTCAGCATAATGACTCTTATCTGTGATTGGTCCAGACCTTTACCTGAAGCTGGAGGACGTGACGAGCCGATTCATCAGGCCTTGCATCATGGACGTGAAGCTGGGCCAGAGGAGCTACGACCCATTCGCCTCGCAGGAGAAACGAGAGCAGCAGATCAGGAAATACCCACTGATGGAGGAAATTGGTTTCTTGATCCTTGGCATGAGAGTAAGTTTACAGGTTGTGCTCTTTAAAGGAGGGTGTAATGTTTGTTTGTTTGTTTATTTTTAATTGTTTAAGAACAGAACGTGTGTTTCAACTGTTTCAACACTGCTGTGAGTGAAGCTCGTCACAGTGATTCTGATCTGATTACAGAACTTTATATAAAGGGTTTTCATAGCTTTTGGGTTTTATTTTATTTTTCCCCAGTGGAGAAAACTAAGCACCGGTGAGTGATAAATGTATACACCTCTTGGTAATTTCTCAGTTTGCTTCCAAGTACAACACAATCCAGATTAATTAAAGCAGCAATATCATGTTATAGTTATCCTCTCATCAAAACGTGTCCAGAGTCTTACTTTGACTCATTCATGAATGTTTGAGAAATCCTGTAGTGTCCTGAGGCAGCCAGGCAGGGGAGCAAAAACGACCGGTTGGGACTACCAGCTCTGCCTCTGGTCTGTGTCTCCAAGCTGAGCTTCCTCATCACAGAGCACACCCGCCCCGTGCTGAAATGGGCGGGACAGAAGCAGAAGGAGGTTCTTAAGGGACAGAGGCCAATTTCAAGGCGTTTAGAAACAGATATGATGCGAAGTCAAGTTTATTCTCTATTTTAACACATAAACAGCCTTTTAAAGGGATCTACGATTAGTTGTAACATTAAACTTTGATAAACATTTATTTTAACTGTAAAATAAAGACTGTAAAAATACCGTAGGCTGTTTAGTTTTGTAAATTGTTTAAAATATATTTTAACACGGAC